CTCAGTCAGCTATAGCAGAAGCTCTAAAAATACGTGCATCTCGTAATGAGGAAAATATTATTTAGAAATAGAGAATCAGTTGGGAGGTTATTCAGAGAGGAGATAATTCTGGGTGCTTCAGAAAAATGTAGGAGAATGTTTCTGATAGCAGCCAGGCTGTTTTTTAAATAGGGACACGCACAGCCGAAATTTCGAAGAAGCTTTAGCTTTAAACTAGCGTTATTCGTTGAGGCGTAGCCCCGTATGCTCTGTTTACATGTTCTTTTTATAAAATATGTTTTATACGTGTCACTCAACTTCAAAGCTTGTGTATAAATATGACTAAGAATTCCTATTCTTTTCCATAGATAGCTTCAGTTTTGACTTCTGGACAGAATACGTTCGCTTGTACTTTCCTAATTGTGCGTGGTGTCAGATTACTGACATAGTTTCAAGGGATAAGTTTCAAATGGGTTTTCAATTAATATACATCTTCCGGTTTGATTTATTTTATACCTTTTCAATTGATAGAAGTATTTTGCGATGGCCCGCAACAATGTTGAACTGTGTCAATGATATTGTTATGCCTCAATTGTTTTGAATCATATAGATGGAACTTTCATACCGCCTTCATAATTCTTTATCTAGTGAGGGTAAAGCGAGCGATATTAGGAAAAATGCACTGAACTACAGCTCACATTTTATTTCAGGCTCGCAGCAGAGGGATCCCAGGCCGGCATCATCAAACGCATATAACTTATGATTATTTTATGTCCGCCCCCTTGATTGCGGGGCGCGATCAATCAGCGTGCATGATTTAGACGCGGACGACGCGAACGGGACGACTTCGAGCGTCATGCTGAGCCAAATTTACCGGAGACAAACAACCTATAATTAATTAAACGTAAAAACTCCCATCATGAGCGAGCTGTTGACGTAGATTTCTGTGATTTTCCACAAGGACACTAAGCTACTCGCTGAAAATTGCAATTGCATTTATTCTATATGTCTTCTTTTGCATTTATAAACTACGTCAGTGATAGAGGATAAATGAACGATAGATCAGGAGCCTATATATACTCAGGATGATCAGCGTTTATAAGTTGAGCTTCCATCATATACGGAGACGGTGTATAATTGAAGAATATATATTTATCGGACGTTTATTTTCCAGCTGTAATTTAAAATGTTTCGATAAAAACGATTTCTGAAGTATAAAGTTCGTCAAACTCCCCTAGAAGGTCACACTGGAGGCATCATTGTCATTGAATCATAATTATTTATATTTATTGCATTGCAAATATTGAACGTTAAGCACAAATCTAAGATATTAGTCAGCTGCCCCACCTTATTCATTTACATATGCCAATGTAATAAGCCTGAGTTTTATTTTATTGAGGCTGTATTTAATAAATTACGCTCAAAATATACCTTCTTTCAATAATTTGTTCATGAAATTTCAATAATAATGCAGAAAGAAGCCATACGGAGCTGATCAAGCTAATACCCACCTATCCAGCGAGCCTCAACCTACCTGCTCTTATTTTTAGACCTCATAAATAAAGATCTTAATTTGCATGTATTCCGAGTTGTCTGAACCTCGACCGGGAGAAAATTTTGGAGGCTTTCAGGGTCTGCTTGAGCTATGACTAAAGTGAAGTAGCAAGCTAATTACTGGAAAAAATTTCAGTCAAAAGCTCATCAGTTCTAAATAAAACATCTAATGTGTAAATATTTTTGTAATTATTTTTTTAACACCAATTCTGATTGTAGTCCACGATTGTAGTCTATAGCACGGGATTAGTCACCGTGAAACGAGATTCTGAAACACGCAATTTAAATCCACACTAAATAAGGAATGCTTCCACTTTATGTAGTTTATGTAATGAGTCGCTAATCGAAATTGCATGCAAATGGTGCCAATTAATAAACTTGCAATATCTGTGCGCCTGGCGATCTGTTCGTAGCCAAACGATTGTTGACTCTTTTGAAACTGGGAAAACTCCTGGGTTCAAACGAGGTGTCGTAAATTTTTGCTGCCAAAAAAAATGCAGTGAAAAAATAATGGATTAATGACTGTATCCACGCCTCATCGGTCGCTGATTGATTTTATCGTGATCAGATTTCATTGAGACTCGATCTTGCCACTAATCCGAGTGAAATCAGAGGTCGATCGTTAAAATCCTGTCAGCATTACAATAGAAATAGATTTTTTCTTCAAAAATGTTTGATATTTTTTCTTCAAAAATTTTTGATATTTTTTCTTCAAAACCTAACACTGTAATCGCTAGTTAGTTCAGTACGAGCTATTCGCTGGATTTATTCTCTTCTTCCATTCCTGTTTCCCTATCTACTCTGTATCATAAATTTCATAAGTGACTTCGTATTCAATAGTGTTGAAAATGTAACTCTCACTTCATTTCTCGGTAAAAATTCGTTGGTCTGTCTAAAGCTGCAATAGGAGCGACAGACAGCGTTCCTTCGTATAGTCCAGTGCAGTCAACCATATCTCAGCAATTACTGTCTGTAAATGTTGTTGTTGACTCGTAAATGCAAATTTACGGGCAAATATTCTCGCTGCTGCTGCTGATACCCAAGTCCCATCAAGGGCAGTTTCGGTCCTTCAATAACAATGACCCAAATTTCGTTTTTCCAAGCATGCTGACCAGGGGCGTTTAAATGAAGAAAAGGAGATTTGGACAAGATCGATTTTGAAAAGTGTGCTCGCGAAACAATTTTTCACGGCCAAAACCTAGACACGGACGAGCGAAACACTACTTATGCGTGACTGTACTCTGAAAACAAGAACGTTGATTTGGTGGCTTGGCGGCTCGACAGCAGTGCAGATCACAGAGACAGACGAGCAATTTGCGTGCGCGCTGAAGGCGTCGGAGCACGCGGCGCTGTTAGGTTAGGTTAGGTTAGGTTAGGTTAGGTTAGGTTGCTTCTTGTCCCGTCATATCCAGTCTGAGGAAATATTGCCCATCCTCCGCAGCGACAAGACCGCGAGGAGTGAAATGTCTACGGTTCATGGTTCTTGTTGCAACAAAATCTAAGAAGGAGAGAAATTGTTGGCATCTCAAGTTGATATTTTGACGAACAGGGCGACTCAATTAAATAATGTAAATTTCTTTACAAATGTGAAAATTCACATATTTCTCAACCTCATTAATTTTTCAATTGTGTGGGCTTAAGAAAGTGGAACTTAATCCTAGCGTTTCTCTTTGGAAAAAAGTCAAATGCCTAGAAGTAAATCATAGCGCGAACGAAAAAAATATGTGACAACGTGAATAAGTAATTGCAAATTCTAGGTTGTGATTCATTTATGCCTATCAGATCACTATTAACTACAATCACATTCCCACACAACGGCATATATTGACTAAAATGAATGCAGAAGCAAATAAAACTTGATCTTTGGGTTTATAAAGTTCATCATAATTTCTGTGTGAAACTTAATATCAAGTGTATATCTCATAAAGAGTGTATTAATGATAGATTGAGATTTGGTACAAATTTTACCAGAGACTCGTAGTTGCTGTCAGAGACTCGGCTTTACTCATTCTAAGGTTACTGCTCACTAGGTTTCATTATTTAGAAACCAAACAAAAATTAGTTATTTAACACACCGTGTAGCGTTGAGCTTCAGTGAGTTGAATCTGCAAAGGTCCCTCGAACCATGAAGAGAATTATTACCGAGACGTGTATAAAAAACTGCGTGCGATTGTTATTTTTAATAATAGTGCCTGACTTCAGAACAATAATAAAACTTCCAATAAAGTCTTCAGAGAGAGATTTTAAGAGTGCTATAATATCATGTACTATATTAAATTACAACGACTCTCCATCAGAAACAATTAACTAGGGAAGCTTAGTATGAGCCGTGAGTGCTTGTGAGATAATCTTATCATATTAATAGACAAATTAACAACTGTAGAAAATAATATAGGTCGCCAACAAATGGAAATTCAACACCGATACAGATCAAGACGATTGTATATTCATGCTGAAGCTTATCCGTCGTTAGGAAATGTCTATATATACATCCACAGATCATGGATATGCGAGACATCGAGATGTCTATTGCATTCTGAGCTGGTCGCATCCCGGGAGAATTATTGTCGCTTGTCCCTGCACCTGCATGCTAATGATCATTGGATGCATAGCTGTAATATAAGCTTTTGACTACTTCTTTAGATCTTTTGAAATGTAGATCAAGAATTTGGTTCAAATTAAATGAACTTGTAGCCAAATCGAGAAGAAGAAAACGTCATGAATTATCTGCATAGTCAGGCTGTCGAAACAAAAAAATATAACTCAGTACTCACTGCAGTGAGTGACAGAGAACGCATTTTCTCGTCGACGAAAACGTGAAATCACGGACGGACAGACGGACAGACAGACGGACGGACATGGCGAGCACAATAGTGCATTTTTTCCATAAATGAGAAAATGCGCTAAAAATTATTCAGAAATCCCGTCGTCGTGCGTTTTAGAGTTCAAAAGCAGTTAAGTTATCAGATTTGCTATTTTTCACCTCGCAGAAAATTAACTAGTAAAAATTTTTTTATCATAAATTATGAATCATTTCTGTTTGAATATATGAAAATACAGTGAATCTACAGTGAAAATGACGCTAAATACGAAACTCTGATATGTCACCTCTGTGATAGAGAAATATCGGGGTTTATTGAGAGGTACTCTACGCGGATGATCATCCAAATTACTTATAAATCGTGTGGTATTTGATAAGAACTTTCTTCTTATCGCCATATTATGGATCGAGTCACAACACGTAAGTTCAAGCATTCAATGATCTAACTTAGAAGAGTAGGCGCGATATTTTGGCAAGTTTTCATATCATTTAATCCTGCAAAATTGCCTCATATCCAGCGTCAAAAACGTATTTTTAAAGAGAACATCAGATATGCATAATCCGTGCGAGAAACTTGAAGTGAAATTAAACAGATAATCGTTGACTGCATACCCCCAATGGAGAATTTTGTTCGACAAAAACTCACCTCATATTGCGGCGTTCCATTCATGACCGAGAAAAAGTAAACTGCAGCCAATGACTGGGTACTGTTCACGCAATGAAGTGTCACCAATAAACACCTCGCTTTGTGCTCAAGCAATTTGAAAGGACACATGAACTGATATTCACATTCGTCTTGTGTGGTTGCATAGATTTTTGGCAGAAACTGGAAGCATTTTGGAAAGTATCAATCGGTTCTTAATTGAACTTCTAGCTCGACGCTTCTGGGCCCGAACAATCCAGTTCGAATATTGTAACAACACTTTTCCTTGAACTGAAGCCGCTGATACAATACTGCGTTCAAAGGTCCTTTTACTGTAACAGGAAACTTTATTTTTTCAGGTTGTTGAAGAGCTTCAATTTTGCGAAGAAAAAAGATTCCAATGAAGAATACAAAAGTACGAAAAGTTGAAAGCCTAAATTCGTTTCGAACATGGATGATAGTAGCAATGAAGCCCCGACTGCAGAGTAAGTGACGCGACCCCATGAGCGCGACGAGCAGTTCATATCTGCGAACCAATTAACCTATTAATTGAGAGAGTCGGGGGCCTCTTGCTTAGTCCTTCAAATGTGTTGTGTTGAGCAAAGCCAGGGACGAACACTATGCAGGAGGCCCCGCGTGCCCTCATACGAACACAGGAGCAGGCTCACGACTGCACCGACACAACGCGGTAAGGCAAATGAGTAACAAACCTACGCAAACCAATATGCCGATCATGATCAGTCTCAAGTGGGTGACGAACCAGAAGAAAAACCACAGCGAGGAAGGGACGCTCTCCAACTGCAACCTAACCCAAAACACAGGTACGATCTTCCCGCCGTGTAGCATCTTCATCGGAGGCCTCACGCCAAACTGGAGAGCAAGCGAAGCGTTCATTGGTGCCCCTAAAACTGGGTGATAATGAATGAAGGAACCATGTTGCTTTCGGCTTGGATAAAACCCATCAATTGGTTTAGGTAAATTTGAGTCCAAAGATCCGTCTACAGATTTTCGGTCGCTCGTAAGAAAGTGCGGTGATGAAATCCAGAGCGGATATTTCTCCAGGGTCTCGCCGAACAACTTGGTGTTTCCCACGACGCCTTGAATGGCAGACTCTAAATCTATAACCATCGGATATTGATTGGAAATCAAATATGGATCCGTTTCTTCTTCTTTGTACTTCACGGCAAACATATTTTGATTGTTTCTCCTAACATCCCACTTTTCGGACGATGACGACACGTATTTAGTTTTCTTTGAGATCTTTCCAGTTCTATCATGAGTAAACTTTAAGCACTCTAATCCATTGGTGAATGAAGTTTCTTCAAAGCGAAATGTTACATTTTTATGTAATACAGAGACAGGAACAGAAACAATTGTGTTTCTGTTCGGTGGAAAAGTCAGGAAAATATTTCGAAGGATATCTTCGTACGACTTCCATTGGATGACATCTTCTACTTCTTGTCGCGAACGTCTTCTTCGAGAAGTCCAACGTGTTTGATTTTGTAGAGATTCTAGGAATACTGTACTTATTCTAAACTTCTGAAGTACGTCTACAACGACGTTAAGTAAAGCTGTGGGAGTGGTCACGTGGTAGTCTTTCATATGGAAGCCTAAATGCAACATGTTGTTACTCTCAAGCATCAATTTCATCAAGTCGTACACATGAAATGGTGTTGAAAGAGATACATTAGATCGACTTGGTACGTAGTTAACTCTAAAACCACGGTGCCTAGAGAAATCCACTCTTAAATAGAGTGGTCCCAAGTCTTTCACTTTCACTTTGTCAACACTTAATGAGTCGACTAAATTGAAAAAATTAAGCTCAACTGATATAGCTAAAGCTTCCAAAGTTTTAAAGAATTTAGGATCCTTATCAGCTATGCTGCTCCAGTATTGAGCGGGATTAGAAGATATATCACTTTGGTCATAAAATAAATCACTGTGGCGTCGAGATCTTACTGACTCAAAAATGTAGTTATATGTTAAAAATTTGTTTCCAAATTCAATATACTCGTCAGCCAAGTTATTTCTGCAACTTCCCAGAATTCCGTGGACCGCGTGCTGCAGACAAAAGTCGTAACTAACGCCAGCTAAAAAGAGTATGGAACCTATCACAAGGAAGGTGATTCTTATGGGTGACGGTTTGTACTTGCATAATCTCCAATGTTCCACCCACGACCTGACACGTGTTTTTGGCGTTAGCCTTTCTTCGCTGCTCGTGGAAGAAATGGTGTCCTCTTCGTCCTCGTGAGGGTGGGGCACTGAACCGTTCGTGTTGCTGTGTGTCATGTGGGGTGCGGACCTTTCGTCAGACGGCCTTAGTCTTCTTAGAGTAATGATTTCGGGGGCTGTAGCACTTGCACCGTTTGTTCTGGCAGTGGGCATTTCTGACACGGAGAAGTCGTAAGTATCAATAGGAGTTATGGATAGAGGAGGTGACGTGAGGCTTATAGGAGTTAGGATCTGGGGAGACGTATTAGCGGGTATTCTAAATTTCTCACTTACGTCTGTTCTACTCAATGAATTTTCTGACTGTTTTCCTTTTTTCCACCACCTCGAAGTTAACGATTTGCTCTTGTTTAGCTCGTCTGGCTGGAGTTGAGACTTGCGCTCTCTAAGGAGTGTGAACACCTTACTGATATGTGGACTCTTGTTACCATCTTCGCTTTTGGATGATCTCCAGTCAACAACAGGCGACGACCCACGTCCGTGCCTCTTGACGTACTCGCAATTCTTTTCGTTACAGACACAAACGCACTTCGTAGGCGGCCTCAGAGTGGCGAAGACGTCGATGCTGCAATGCTCTGCGCTGTCACTGTGGCCGTCTGGAGAAGACCACACGCACGATGAAGAGGAACGTTGCATGGGCTCGCTCAAGAAAATGGGGAGGTCTCGGGAGAAAGATGACGTTGCCTCACTCAACGACTCCGTGGTTCGCGAGTGCTGAGCGTCATCTGCCAAGTGGGCAGACCCACTCGACCCACCAAATATTGAAACACCTCCACTAGGGACTCTTTCTCCCGCATTTTCACTGTTCTTTTTAGCCTTGTTAAATACTTCTATTAACTCGGCCACGTAGCCAGGCTGTCTTAGCTCTATTTCATCCATGGTAGAATTCATTGCATCGCTCTGCGGACATTCTCAGTGATGCATTTATGTAAATTGCATATGATCATCGAATCATCAGAGTTTATATTAAATTTTGTTCAAGTATTAATATTTGTCTAATACAATTTCACATTTTCAGTTGTAGTGGGAAATATTTAATTTTCAGTTTAACGAAAAATTAATACATTTTCAAACATTTAAGTCATAATATCACAAAAGTAATTACGCTGTCATGTTAGTTGATGGATCACTACTATGTTCTTTTGGTTGGTTCTGTAGTACTCCATCAGTCATGAATTATCAATCAACACATCAGGCGTGTCACGCGATGCATGATCGACTTGTTCCAGTCCTCACTTGCTGGCTGTTCTTGTTAATCATTGTTCAGTCGCCGAAATACCATGGATTAATAGTTTAAGTTTTATTTGAACGTGATTTGTAATCTTGATATATGAATCAAATCAAAAATACCATGTTCAGTCGCCGAAATACCATGATCGATTTGTTTCAGTCCTCACTTGCTGGCAAGTCTCTGAGAAAATACCCTCAACAAGCACAAAAAATTCGCAAATGAAGGAATTTCTGGTGTTGGTCATTGTTCGTCAAAGTTTGCTGAAGGTCACTGTCGAGAATTGTATATTTATTTCTATTTCGGCCTTCCCGAAAAATTTCAGATCGTGCTTTTTAAACAAGTGAACCTGAAAAGTAGCAACACAAGAGAAATATTAATTCGTAAAATTAGTATTCGTCTTTTACGGGCAAAATATTTTCATATGTGGTTGTCTTTATTAAAAATCAGATAAAATTTGAAGTTTTTTCATCACAAATTCATTGTTTTTTCTCGAAAATTAAAGCTCTCCTACACGGCTTATACAAGTTTTTATTTATATAGATATATATTCATATTAACAATATCCACAACCTTTTTTGACAACAAATGTTCACTACTGTAACTTGTTTTCTAATTTAAGTAGTCATAAAGAGCAACAATGTTTAATTTAACTAGATCATCCAATTGCTGTAAATTTGTGTGTCCACGTTTTGCCTGCTACCCTACAGTAAAGGTAATAGTTCCAATTTTAACGCCTACAATAAAATTCTAGTTATTTCAAATTTTAACGCCTACAGTAAAATGAATATTTCAAATTTTAACTCATAAAAAATTGAAACACAAAACCCACATTAAAAACCAAAAACAAAGCCAACCAATTTTTTGCTGGACCAGAAATTAAATAGAGTTATATTGCCTCTCTAGTCTAAATTCTTTTCCACAAAAATTAAGTCTGCAAAAAATATAATAAATCATCTGCTAGTTTGTTCTTGAGCTTGAAATGAAAATAAATTTTCATAATTTGATCTTTAACTAAATTTTGAGGCAGATAAATATCGTTTTTTTAATGTCTTTCGTTGGTTGAAATGCTATATCATTCGTCTCTTTTGTTTAGTCCGATTGAAAATTAGACAGTGGTGCACTAATTAACTAAAAGGAGATAGAAACTCATTGCGAAGTAATTTCAAAATAACCGATATTAATATTATTATCGTCAAACGACGAATTTTCGTAAAAAGAATTTGTAAATTTTCGGAAAACTGAAGCACCGACAATCCCTCCGAATAATTATTTCAGGCTCCTTCCTTGTCACGTATTTTATTCTTCCGTGAATTAAACATAAACTAGAAACAATCAAACAAATTTCTAAATATAGACAAGAGCTGCGATAGCGCAGGAATGCGGCGGACAGCATCGCGATCAACTAGCGAGAAAAACACTGGCACGCAAACTATCTTATCTCACATTCCTTAACTTCCAATAAACTTCAGTGCAATAATCTACAATGTATCTGATGACAGTAATTTCTCAAAAATTTTGCATATCTATATGTTTGTGATAGGCACATTTGTAGCGGGTTTCTGACGGCACGGTGGACCTGCCCTGAAAACACATCCTCCCTCGACCGTCTCTCACGCAACACTGACCTCGAAGCGATGTTTTGACCCCAGCGTTTCCATGTTAACTACCAGCCCACTTTACGGAAGTAATTTTGCTCTGATCGCTGCGCAGCGACTCGATTAACTATGAATTCTTCCAATGATTGTTGCTCGGAAGTATTGGGTTGGATTTTTTTTGAAGATAACTGTATTTAAATGTAATTATCAATGAGTTTCCGATTACAAGGTTGATTTGGGGCAGAAGTTGCATCATACTCCATGTACTCTTTCCATGATTCTCCATATATTCGTTCTGCACAGCACGTGTATATGGAAACACGAGTGTGTACGATTGGGTCTTTACATAAAAATCTACGGAGATTGAAACTAAGTTTTAATTTACTTCTACCAGTTGCTATGTTGTATTCAAGAATTAGTGAAGCATTTATGGCAAATTATTATTTCATTAACATTCCTAGTTTTAAAGTGAAATAACTATAATTAATTGTGTGAATTTATCATATCATGATCTACGCATATACAATATGCAAATCAGGTGAGATGTCAAAATTAATATCTTTCTCTCAACCTTGATTGTAATATAGTTGCCTATAACTTGATCCTACATACTTGAATGTTAAACAAATAATTTCAATATAAAGCCTAAAAATTATAGCCCAACACTATTAAAATCTGAAAAAAAAGTAGTAAATAATAAACAATCTTTGAAGCTATCTGTGTTTCCTATCAATGTAAGGGATGTGATACCCAAGTATAGGTGTGCTATTATGTACGGCAATATGCAAAAAGTCATTTTGAGCACCATTGATATTAGATGATATATTTAGATGATGTATTTAGTATATCATCTGGAACTGAAAAATAGAGGAAAAATGTTCAAAATAATCAAATTGTCACTTAATTTAAATTCTCCAGGCGTGTTTATTTTCCGCTATGAAAATATACACGTCAACAAAACGACGTTTCGGAGATGGAACATCCAAGCCGGTGAAATGCGAATGATCAATGAAAGTAATAATATTATGAGCTTAGTCCAACGCTATAAAATATATTGTATAGTGGAATGCATACAGAAAAAAAATTAGTGAAAGAAAAGAACGGCACAGTATAAATTGCTGCATAGCTTTTTGACAGAAGTAGAGCGAGTCAAGACACATCAAACTTCAGAGCTTTTGCCACGCGACTGCTAAAAGTACGTATTGTAATTAAATTTATATCGGAGTTAAGACTTTGCTTGATTTTGAGTTATTTCTTTCACATGAAATGTTGTCTCAAGAATTGTTTATTAATTTTTTATTCCTATTTCATCCCTGCCTTAATGAACCGCGTGCTGCGTGACGGCAAAATGAACCAGACTCCGTCTGAAACATGTGTCAAGTAATGACGCATAATTTCTGTGGTGCTGGCAGACTGCGTAACATAATAAATAAGATAGTCTATAACATAAGAAATAGATTGACTCCGTACATAAGAAATAAGATGGACTTCCTAATAGACTAATGCACTTTAATTTGTCAATCATAGAGTTTCTTTGATCAGAAAGTCAATCATATCGATGGAAGAAATGTAGGAAAAATTGTAAAAAAAAAATTAAATCAACAGAGTGTTTGATAAAATAAAACATCGTAAATTGAGCGTGTCGAGTACGATACACGTAATAATATGAATTTCAATTGTTGAGATTTTCATATTCACATTTTAAAAAGTTGATACTAAACGAAATAGAGATGGGATTTGGTTAGATTGTTCGTTCGTTAATAAAATTATTTGTATACTTTGGGTATATTAAGTCATGGGTAGGTAAATTCATAGCAATATGGATCAATTTCTATTATTAATTCTGTGGCCAAATTACGCGCACTTTCTCAATAAATTAATTTTACTCAATGCATGAAGCGTCCGCGTTCTCCGACTATTGATTGATAACATATATTTATTGATAATATTTATCCGACTATATAATATGATAATATTTATCCGACTTATTGTTCGTGACTTGTAGCGCTGCTCGCGTGATGGAGGCGGGGCTACGTAGCGGGCCTGAAAGTTTTCGACTCGCTTTAATGTTTAATTTCAAATGGATCGTGGAATGCTCCACTCCACATGATTCATTGTAATTATAATAATTATTCCAAAACGAATACATATCAGTACACTGGAAGCAATTTTTATTCCAACATAAATTTATTAAGTCATTTACTTGATGTAACATTATCTAATTTGAGCATATATAAACATTTGTGGCACTTTTTCAACCATTCTATCCCACACATTTGCTATGTTTTATAATATAAATTTTATTATTATTTAATTCTATAAATACTGTATTAATACTAATTTATTCATATTATTTCTCCGCTCACCCACTCAGATATAAGAGCGATATTCTTAAAAAATATAATTTGGAAACATCAACTCTTTAACTCACAACCATAAAAAAGTTGAGAAATTTTGAATAAAAAATGAATGTCCATTCTCAATAATGAAACTTCAAGATCGCAACAGCATTATATAGTTGCAAATAATGTACGTATGGAACGCACCAACCGTAAATTAGTTTCATAAATCTTTTTACCCGTCTTTAGAATTTTTGTTGAAATAATGTCACGATTAAAGAACATACATAACATTTAACTACATACGCAACATTTAATAACATGCAGAACATTTAATAATATACTCAACATTGAATAACATACATAACATTTAGCAACATACAAAATTTTCAAATTATATAATGTGTTTTGAAATTTATCTTCTTCAGATAAATATAAATAGACATAGACATATTAAATAGACATGTTTTTTCAGTTAATTATATAAATATTTATGTTCTGTTCGATTTTCCACAGCAATTGGCGAAAGTGTCACAAGTAAAAAGTTTCGAGGTCACACGTCAATGTACGTAGCAAGTTTTTCTATTAATTTTACTCATTGAATTGATACTAACATTGCACAAAGTAATGTAACATCGCACATGTAATTTATATTCACCTTTGTACCCCAAGAGACGGGACATTTGATCTATGAAATCAAGTCGTAACATTCCA